TTTAAGGTAAACCGATGTTGAAATAACCTGTTATAATGAAATATGCACTGAAGTCTGGATTAGCTCGCTCTTCTGTTACCAGCCAGCAGCTTCTTCCATGCAGAACCTGCTGACTGTGAATCCATCTGCATTTCCACCAGGAGGGCTGGTACTTCGGCATTTCAGGGGTAGAATGGTTAGAATTATCTAAAAAGCTCATGCGCATTGTTCCTCTTGCTCTCATTTTATCTCCTCCCTAAATCTTACTTGTAAGTGGGGAGACAGAAAATTTCATGCAAAATAGCTAGCAGCACTTTCTTTTTTAGCGTGCAACAGGAACTGGTATTAATACAAGCACACAGAGCGCTAGGTGTCTGACTGAGGCAAGTTTTCCTCACATCCTCTCTCTGGAGATGGAGGTCTTGTCTAGTCTCAAGCTACAGGAAATAGCCATGCTAGTTCCTCAAGATCCTTTCATGGCGACGCGAATGAACAATTTATTCGGAGAGTTATGGGACCTCAGCTGGACACTTGTACTGTTAACGTATTTTTATTTGCATCTAAATTTCTGAATGTCCTCTTATCTTGGAGGCTGGAGGGAAAGGCTGAAAGTGGGCACCAGCTTACTTGCTTTACTGTTCAACTAATCAAACTCTCCTTTACTGCTGGTACTTTAATTTCTGATTTCCTCCTTCCCTAGGAAGATTCCTTGAATTCCTATATGAATGCCTCTCTCGTGCCTCAGAGTTTCTCTGTTTATAATAAATAAAAGAGGGCAGGAGAAGAACTGCTTGTTCCACATTAAAATGCAGTGAGTTAATAACTTTTGATTACAGTATTAAATGTTCTCAAGTATTTCAATCCAAATTATAGCTCCACATTGCATCTCCAAATTAAATCTCTTGTCAAATCTCTGGAGCAAAATGCAGCGAATGCAATTAATATTCGGCGTTGACCTGTTATTTTTCCAGACTAGTCTTTGGGCAACATTCAGGATTCTCAGCATTTTCAACTGCACGATTTCTTTTTCATACTCGGAACTTGCATTGATATTTATGAGTTCACAGTTGCTTCCAGATACTTGTTTCAAGCAACTTACAATTACAGTTTATTAACACTACGCTGTACGTAGAAATACTCATTTCTATCAGAATAGTACAGAACGGTAAATAAATACTGCAGTAGCACAGCTCAAAATTTGGGGCAAATGCAAAATCAACAGTTTCACATAATAAAACTACATGAATTTCCATTTACTGGAAATGAAAGGACCATCATTTTCCATTATTACCTTTGAAGACATATTTTAGGTCTTTAGAACCTATTCCTATAAGCTGATATATCTCATCTTGTCATTTGTAATTACGCAATTTGATGAATTTGGGATTTAGACATAACTAATTACCTGCCTGCATCCACAAATCATCTACATCATGCATGCAAATGATTTGGGGTATAAAAGTTATAGAGAGAAACGTTGGCGAAAAAGTCAAACCAGGCCTCAGTTTTATAACTTTATGTTTTGGATACAGTAGAAGCCCTTTGGCTCTGATCCTGCGCTATACTTAAATCGGTGTTCTTGGGTGCAGTATCTCAGGCTCTAAAGAGAAGCCCAGGGAATCTAAATTTTTCCTTAAAACTGAAGGGGGTTCACACGATGAGCAGGTGTTTTTCTTAGATGTCATGATCACAATTTTGTCTTTTGGCAGTCTTCTGCACTGTCCAGAGGCGATTCTTTTCATGGCATCTTGGTTATTGAACCTTCCGCACACACCCACACCAGGTTTCCACATTTTTTTCTCCTGACCAGATGAACAAGCAGCTTTGCCATAGCGCTCTCGATTTTTCCTCTGTAGACCCGCAGAGCCGGTCTATGTGTGGTCACGTAGCAAGAGGCGTGTGACTGTACGGGCTGAGGTATACAAGGGCTGTGGCTGGGGATGGGACTTACGAGGAAGACGTTCAGGGCTGGGCCACCCGGGAGGACCCCTTCCCCTACCGTGCCATGCCTGCCACTCTCCCCGCTGTCTGCCTCCTCCACAAATGAGGCTCTCCCGCCAGGCCCCTCGCTTGTGCCTGGTTATATTGTCATGAAACAGGAGGGAAGCGCTCGCACCACAACCATGACAGAAAAACCATGCTCATAGCAAGGGTCGGTTCCGGGCGGGTTTCGCTCGGTGTGCAAGGCATGCAACTTCAGTCTCTCACTTTTTCAAGAGGGAAAACGGCAATACATCATAGGTCTCATATTGAAGAGACACGCATCCTATTTTTCAATTCACGTAGCCTTAGTTCAGTGGTGTCTTTGGTAAGCCTTTAGCAAGGTACATTTAACAACTTCAACGCTAACTCGTGCCTCCTATGAGCACCGTTTTGCTGGCAAGTTGAAATGACCATAGAGAACCACATAAATTCTGGTCGGTGTGAACGCCACGGGCTGCACCAGGCCACCTATGTACAAAGCACTCGGAGGTGCTGACATAGGTAGAGGCTAGTTCTCTGAAAATCGCGTCGTTACCGGCTCGATGGCGTCTCTGTGCAGAGCAGGAGCTGCCTCTCTGCCCTCAGACCCCGGGGCAGGCCGATTGTCCCCTCTGCTCCAAGGTTCTTTAGCTCCCAGTGATGAAAGCAATTCTAATGAATTACATCTGTTGATTATTCGCGTGTGGAAAACGCACAGCTTATTTGACTCAGCAGTGTTTTCTTAAACCTCTTCTTAGAAAGACCAAGGCTCTCAGTTACCTTCCCTAACAGTGCCACCAAGTGACCGGCGGGGGGAGGAGGCCGCGTCCCCCCACAGCCGCGTGGGGACCGGACGGCCCGCTGCGGGCCCGCCGGCTCGGAGAGC